ATTGCTCTCATTTTGGGTCACCCTAAACAATGCTGACCACCAACATATGCTTGTAATACCCATTCGGCTGCAGTCTCTTATGGCCAACTAACTGGCTTGGCCACACTCAATCACTTTGACTAAGTGCCAAAATGGCCAACAGCTAAGAAAATAGCAGCAACTGTTGGCTATCAGCAATAAAAATAGACTTATCAGGGCGGGCAATTAATTGATTGATTGATTGATTAGCTCAGTCAGCAACTGCAGCAACAACAACAACAATAGCAACAACAACCACAGCAACAAAACCAAAACAAATTAAACAAAATAAACCAAATTGTGGTTCATCATTTTCATTTGCTTAAGCATTTCGTCAAAACCAACAATAATAAAAATCAAATCGAGCGAGAGAGAGAGAGATAGAGAGAGACAGAGTAATACAATATGAAAGAGACAGCTGTTGTTATTTATGTGTGTGTGTGTGCCAAACAAACAAGGAAATCAAAGCGAATGTTTATGTGTGTGATTTGAATTTAAATGCGAGTCAAGCCTAAATACTAATGGCACCATCTAACGGCTCTGTTTAGCCTCGCTTTGTTTTAATGCCAGCATGAAATGTTTATGGACCAGTTGCAGAAAAAAAGAAGTGAAAGGGGCTCAGCCAACTGCACAATGCTCATTCACAGTTCAAAAGGAATAGAGCTTATTTAAATATATTTACTTATTTATTTCTTTTATAATATTCATCACAGTTAAAAAAAAAGCTAAACTTAAACATTTTAAATAAAATTATTTCCATTCGAATTTTTTTTCATGAATGCATAAGTCTCTTTGTAGAGGTGCACCTGAAAGTTATTTGCAGGGGTTCCATGGGCCTGAATTTAGACGCCATCGAAATGCTTAATACAAAATATTTGATTAACGTATAAAGTAAAGAGAGCATAGAATATGGAATATAGAGATTAGAGGTGTATGGTAACTCTTAGTCTTTGGTAAGTCTTATTTTAAAGTTTCCTAGTGTGTTAGGGACGGATGTCTTTTGTTTACCATGCTATTAATGAATAAAATTATTTAAGCCTTATGTATTATTCTATTCTTATATATTTACGAAATTTTCAAAGCTCTACCTTCAACGTTGTCAACGACTTAGTTATAAATAATAAAATGATTTATCGATTTGCCACAAAATCTTTATATGTACTTCACGCAGAGAAGAGCAGATATAAGCTTATATTCCCTATTATTCTGTATTCCCCTTATATTCTGTAGCTTCTATAAAGGCAATGATTTGTCTTCATACACACTGACGAATGTTAACCTAGGCAGAGATTACACAAAGCCAATATACTCTCTCACTTATTGAATGCGCTCCAGCTGCAAATCAAAGGCCAACTGAGTTCTGTTCGATGGATGCTGATTCAGTCAACCGATTCTGTTGGCGGTCAACAATATGTCGTTCAATCATTTTGTGTATTTGTGTGGATGAGTGTGTGCCTGTGTGGGTGTAAGTCAGTTTATATGCTATTCTTCATGTGGTGTTTTTCCATACACTCGGATCAGAGTAGCTACGATTAGCTCACAATATTCAACTAACAAATGAATGAAATTTTGAATGATTATTAGTTATTAGAATTAGCTTTGCATAGAGAAAACATTTATGGAATATCCAAAATTTAATTTAAATATTTAA